AAATAAGTATAAAATAACTTATTTATTAAGTATTATTTTAAAATATATATACATTAATTATACCTTAAAATATTAAAAATACTTTAACATTTTATATCATCTAATTCCTAAAAAAATAACTTATATTTTTAAAAACTAATTAATATTGACATGAGAGAATAAGACATGAGCTTAAACTGGACAATATAATCCAACTGAAATTTAATTAATATGAAAAGAGCCTTAGCTACACATTGTTGCTAATAAATAGCACTCCTTCCCTGTTTTTTTTCTTATAAGGTTGCACTTACTATTTTCTCCATGGAGGTTAAGGAATTTAAGAAAATTGATGTAAACAAGTTTCACAGTTTTTTAAACTACTTAAGTCAAAACAAAAGATGCATGGCATTTTTAGAAATAGTCATAGATATTTTATTAAATTTTATTTATCCCTTGAAGTGAATAACAAGACTCTTCTTGGTTTTTTTAGAATAACAAAAAAATTATTTTAAAATAAAAAATTGATAATTTAATCTCATAAGATGTGATGGGCTTAATTGTTATTAAAGTTTTTGATGAATAAAAAAATACCCTTAATTTAAAAAAGTGAAGAAAATGATGATAGAAAATTTAGAATGCTCAAATTACTTTTATCATGTATTCAATGGAGTTCTAAATTCTAGAATCAAAGTTGTAAAGGAAAAAAATCGTTACACTTTGTTGTTTGAAAAAATATGGTGAGAGAAAGTTGTTAATTATAAACCACTTTATTCATTTGCTGGATTATAATTGTGAATTTTAAAACTAAAGTTGTAAATGAAAAATGCTTTGTTGTGTTTTTTATTTATTAAAGAGTACTTTTGTCACTTCATTAAAACTTTAATGATAATTAAGTTTCTTGAAATTTAGAAGATATTGTTATATTTTATAGGATCAAATTATCATTTCTCAAGGGATTTATTTGTTATTCTCTCTCTCTCTTTTTTAACCTTCTAAATTTCTCAACCATGAGAAGTGTAAATATATAGTACTCCCACCATATCAAATTATGAGACACTTTTAGATAAAATTTTAAATATCAGTAAACTTCATTAAATATACTTAACAACTTTATTTTTTCAAAATAAAAATATAAACTTTCAAAAATATCCATCATTTAATACATTGAAAAGAGAAAGGATATAAATGAATTATAAAAAGAGAAAGAGTAATATTAAAATAAGCATATTTAATAAAATTTTAATATTCTCAAAGTATTTTATATTTTGAGATATCAAATCTTATCCAAAAATGTCTTATAATTTGGTATGGAAGGAGTATTGTTTTTTTAAAGGGAGAATTGCAACCAAGCCATACACAAAAAATTTAATTACTATGAGGTTGATTAACAACTGAATTAAATATCATTGACAACTAAATGTGTTGTCAATGTTGTTTAATTAAGTTGCTAATGAACCTTATAATAATTAATTTTTTGTATAGGACTTTGATATAATTTTTCAAAAAAAAAAATCAATCTTAGATTTCTGTAAGCTGTGAGCCCCACATGCACCTACGGCAACGTGGACTTCAACATAGAGTTGGGAATAAGGGTGGGACTTAGAGAGCCAATTTAAATAAGAGATAGAGCTTGAAAAATGAGAGATTTTTAAGGTAACTGAGCTCTTAAGCTTGGCTTTGATAAGCTCTAAAAAAAAGGCTTGGATCTTGGCAACTCTCCAAACCTTGTGCTATTTTTTTGTCCTTTCATCTTAGAACGCATCATTTGAAAAATGAAAAAAAACCTAAGCATTCAACCATTCCAAATTCTTTACCTTTTTTCATCTCTCGACTCAACCTCTCCCTCTCATCCTCTCTTTTTCTCTAGCTGTCTTGCGTCTTCTCCTCACTGCTCTGCTCATCCTTTAATTTTCTCTATCTCTCAATTTCCCTCTTCATCTTGTCTCTTGATGCAACATCTCTTAGCTCAACGACTCCCTCTTGGCATTCTATTGATTTGTCTTTTTGGCTTTTTTACTCTCAAGTAATTCCTCTTCCAACATAGACATTTTGTTCAGATCATAAATATCCAAGATTTTAATTTAATGCTCACTTTTAAGATTTCAATTTAATTTAAAAATTTTAACTTCTTATCTTATTCTATGAAGATTATATCGATATACCTCACATATTTTTGTTAATGTGACTTTATTGTGAATTTTGATGGTATAAACTAACATGCATTTAAACTTTAAAATATTTTAGTATTTATTTTCTACATGATGTGAGATTTTAATTTAGTTTATATTAAATTTTAAAATTAAATTATAATGTTAAATATTATGATGTTGAATTAAATTATTTTTTAAAAATAAAATTAAAATATAATATTAATTTTTTTATTTTTTTAAAACAAGGTTTTTGAGTCTGGCTCTAATCCCTTTTAATAGGAGCCAGGAATCAATATTTATTTAAATTTAAAAAATTAGTCTTTAACGCCTAAGCTTTTAAGGATCAGGTCCACCTATTTTCCTATCATCTTAGCACCAATCATACAAATAGTTCAAAATGGTTTCATATGAATTATCCTTATCGATACTGAGATCTGTGCAAATTACTTTAAAATAAGCATGTTTCTTAAAAGAAAACTTTGAAATTGTCATCATTGCTGGGCATGGCACAGACCTATGGTTGTTTAATAATGGAACAGGCAGCATCTGGATGCTTGATCCGCGAAGTTTCACTTTATCACGAGTAACTTTACACCCATACGCTGATGTGTTGTCTGAAAATAATAATCATATATGCCCGTATCATTTCTCTGATTAATAAACCGTGCAAATTAATGCAGAGATAAATGGTGGAAGACGCTGACTAGCTGTAACGCGCCTCACATGGTCTCTAAGGTTCTTGTTTCGCTTGTTTAATTTTCTTATATTATGCCTTTTTTTCTTTTTCTTTTTTTTGGGTCAAACTATGACGTCATGCTTTACTTACTCACAAAAACAAACAAAATTGAAATGAATATGGGCGCTGTAGACTCGTACGTTATTAAGATGACAATTGCTCCGGCAAATTTCACCCGTGAGTTTTTTCCCCGTTTCTCGGTTTCATTATTATTTTCTTAATTTAAAAAAAAAACGAAATGTGATCATTGTAAAATTTAATTTAGAATCATTAATCCAGTAAGTTACATCTTTTTACCTCCAAATCCAATAGTTTACAGTACATCTAACTAATTAGTCGATTCCGAAGGTCCGCCGTAAAAGTCGATCGGCCCACGACCTTACAAGACAACTCGGCGTGTACAAGGGAATCGCATCATACTTGAACATGACAATACAATTCAGCCGGTTCACGTGCTCTCTCGTTACTTCCTCTTCTTTATATAATTTAAGTTCATCATAAAATCCAGACCAATTTAGATCGAAGTACTTGGCGAATCTCATAAACAGGTCGTGCTGGCCATAAAACAGGTTGATTTCTTCCGTTAAATGTCTTGACGTGGAGCTCATTAGTGCTGTCATTTGTGGGCCTTAACATGAATATTTGACCCAATTCTTCCAAAATGACTAAAGAATTATGCCTGTTAGACACAGTGGAATTATACTCTATCAATTTTTTATTTATTTGGGTTTAAATGCTTAGGTTCTCTATTACTTGAATCAAATGGCCAAGATGGGTTCCTTTGTTTTTTGGACTCCCCTATTTTTGTAGGAGCTGTCATTATTAATGATTCTCCTGAAATCCATGTCTCCTCCTTTGATCAACGCAACTGGAATTAGCCCTTTTTTAACGGAAAATAATAATTAAGTACCTTTAAAAATATTAATCCTAATTAAAGTTTATAATATTTTAAAATTTTAATTAAGGACCATGGTATTAATTGAAATAAAAATATAATTTGTGAGGTAAGATTTACTAACGCTACTTGAAAAAATTACTAATGTATATTATAAAAACATGAAATTTTATTTAAAAATTAATTGTTTAACAAAAAGTCACTTGAAAATTCACTAATTCGAGTTGAAATTTTTTTTAACATATATTGTGAAAATATAAAACTTCATTTGAGAATCGATTGTTTAACAAAAAGCATTACTAGAAATTTACTAATCGAACTTAAAAAATTTTATTGTATATTGTGAAAATATAAAACTCCACTTGAGAATAGATTGTTTATCAAAAAGTGAGTTGTCCAAATTAAAATTTTTTATTAAACAATCTATTCTCAAGTGGAGTTTTATATTTTTACAATATACGTTAGAAATTTTTTAAGTTGTATTAGTGAATTCTCAAATGACATTTTTTATCAAACAATCTATTCTCAAGTAGAATTTTATGTTTTCACAATATATATTAGCAATTTTTTTAAATTGGGTTAGTAAATTTTTAAGTAACGTTAGTGAATCCCATCTCACAAACTATATTTTTTAATTTCAATTAAGGACCATAAGTTCTTAAATAAAATTTTAAAATATTGTGGTCTTTAATTGAAATTAATATTTTTAAAAGGTCGTTAATGATATTTTTTATCAAACAATCTATTCTTAAGTAGAATTTTATGTTTTCATAATATACATTTGCAATTTTTTCAAGTTGGGTTAGTAAATTTTTAAGTAACATTAGTGAATCCCACCTCACAAACTATATTTTTTAATCTTAATTAAGGACCATAGTTCTTAAATAAAATTTTAAAATGTTGTGGTTTTTAATTGAAATTAATATTTTTAAAAGGTCTTTATCATTTTCTCTCTTTTCTATTCACAAAAATAAGCCATTTTTTTTAATTAATTCTAACAATTGACAATGTTCGCTTGAATCTAATCCAATCAAATAATTACATAAAAATAGTTATTTTGAATTTTTAAATATAAAAAATTACGTATCTTTTTAAGTATATACTTTGTAAATTTGAGGTACCCAGTAAAAAATTAGAGTTCCTGGGAAAAAAATTTTTTTCCTGGTCCCACAGAAAGCTTTTTTCAAAAAACTACCCAGGGTACTCCAATTTTCAAATATTCCTCTTTTGCTTTTCGATCACGACGGTTCAATTTAACCATTCCATCAGGCGACAAGTGTTTCTAGTTGTTTTTCAATTTGGTATGCTTTAGTTTTGCGTTTCATTTCTAAAACAAAACTTCGTTATGTGATCATCGTGTCTTCAATGAGGTAGGGTTTTTGATTCATTTTTCTATCTGTACGATGGCCTTTGAATTCTAATTTCTAACTGATTTCGGGAAACTTTCCTGCAGATAAACCTTGGGTTTCCCGAATTTCTTCCCAGAAATAATTTTTGCTGATCATTACTGTCAAAAGGAATCAGAATCGGGACTCATTGAGTTCTTAGGCCCGAGGGTGGAGTTTTATCGGGTCAATCTAGTTTCTCATAATCAAGGATGTGGATTTAGGCCTTGGTTTCCGTTTGAAAAGAGCATTGTTATGTGTATTAAATTGTCTGTTTTGCGTGCAATCCCGTAATTTTCTTTTTGATTCGAATGTGCGAATTCAATTCTACGGAGGCTTGAAGAACGGCTCTCTGGCTCTCTCAGATATGATCTGGGTCGCTGGGATGACTTCTTGGTCATGCACTCATGCTTCAATAGGAATATTTGCATATAACAGTGTATTGGAATTGTTTGGTGGCATGTGTTTGTTTCATGAACAATGGTATTTGATTGATATGTCAAGACCAATTGACTAATTCTGTTTTCCGTACTTCAGTGCATTAAGCTGTAAGTTCTAGTCCAGTTAATGTTTCAGTGAAACAAAAGAGTTAAGGTCCCAGAGATGTCGTCTTCGTTATCACTCTATGAATCCAAACATCCATATGTACTGAAATATGATATAGTGGATGGGAATGAGGGGCTGTGCTATGCATACTCAGTGCATTGTCAGGCTGGGCTACCAGGCACTTTTGCTCGCTTGTATGTGCTGAGTCCATAGGGTGAAATTGGACATGGACACTGCTCCCTTTGTTTTCCTTCTTTTGTTTTGTTTTTTGAAGTGTTTGTGCTTCGTATTGACTTCTATCCGCTAAATTTAAATTCTACTATAATGGTTAAGCCATTAGTAAATGAGTTTAATACAGTTGAGGCCACTGGATTGTAGTTATCTGAATTCTGAAAGCCTTGGCATCTCTCTTTCTCTGTGTCTGTTTGCAATTTGGTTACTTTTATGATTATCTTGAAGCTTCTTTGGTATGTGTGCACAAGTGTTGTTATAAGAACATTAATGTTGTATCTCAAGCCCATTACTGACGTAAAGTTAGACTTGATCATAGATTGGATTCAATTTTCAGGTTCATTACAAGCGTAATTCATTAGCACGTATCAATGGGTGTATATCTTCCTTCTAGCTTTGAGTCCTTCTTCCCAATCATCTTGACGATTCATTAGACAAGACATTGAATTAAGCATCTCATTGTATAAACGGAAAAAGGATCTTATGACATTCTTTGTTATTCTATACCCCCACCCCCTATTTCCACCAAATCCTTCCTTGTCTTGACACTTCACCTAGTGAGCAGAGGGATCATTTTTCTCGATTTCCATTAAGCCATTTGAAGGAAATTTGTAATCTTTCATCTGCCATACAAAAACATTATTTGAAGATTTGGGCTGAGCACTTAGCCATCATGCTTGTAGTGGCCACATTAAATATGTTTACCCATCTCTGTATGAGTGTATGCGTGGTCAGTTTGTACTAGGATTTGAAGCAGAGACACTGGAACAGTCCACGACATGGACACTGTTGCACTGAGAAATCTAAAATTCCAATTGAATTGATGTTTGTAATAGAACTAATGAGTTTTTTCCGTGTATTGGACACAAAGCAAGCTCATTTTTTCAAGAGTTTGTGTTTTGCTAGATTTGTATTACATAACGCAAGGTGGAAGTTCTTATGAGCCATGATCTCTTCCTGGCCTTAGTAGTTTATGGAGGGGGGTCACTGTAGAAGGCAGAAGCTTTACTATTTTGATATCATCAACCATGTTAACATCCTGCATTCAGTTTTTTCTGTTCGCAGTGAAGCTAAATAGCAGTCCAATATCACATTAGAACTACAATTCCTAAACTTGAGTTGACCTTGTATCCACAAATTTTGTTCCTTTGTTCTTCTCTTCATATCCTATCCTGTCTCATCTTGTTGGTTGAATTCATTAATGCTCTTCCCTTTTAGATATGTTAATTTCTTGTTTGCTCCAGTTCCGATTGATTGCCTTGCAATCTTCTGGGCTTGATTACATGCTGAGTGTTTCAAAGACGTTTTTTAGCATTTGTAAAATGACAAACTTGTTTGCTCCTCGTCTTTGTCCTTCATTGTTTGTATTTAGACTGATCCCGTAGTCATATATTCATTATCTTGATTTTTTTTTTTTTTTTGCTCTAAGTTATGCTTATATGCAAACCAAACTGCTTTTCTTCAGGCTTATCGGATTCTCAGGTGGGCTGGATCGTTCCAACTTGAATATGAGCAATTCATACCCTGAAGATCACGTAAATAATTCATCGTTGCTTGTTGCTTATTACGTCAACTTCTTGTGAGTAGTAGCCTAGTAGGCACTGAAGATGTAATAACCTACCTGCAGGAAAATGTAACTGTTGCCGGATTTGAAGTGCCGAAGTCTCCTGATTCCAGTTACAACAACGTGTATCCTGGAAATGAAGACGAGGCTCGTGATCCACCCCCGGTTCCTTCGCATTTGCAGCATACCTTGCTCCGTTATCCTGCTAGCAGAAGCAATTGGGGGACTCTTCCACTGCCTTATAACGTGATTCTCAACCATCTTTATATTGAGAACAGAGAGGCTCCAAGATCTGTGGTGGCATTAGGATTTACTCATCGCTTTCGATCAAAATATGTTACTGTGGTGCTTTACGAACCAGTCCAAAGAGGCAGTAGTACAAACATGTAATTTCCATATGAAAAACTTTCTTCAGTTGAAGTTTGCCTTTGCCAGGATTAGGCAGAGATGAGATGTTGTATAGGAAATTTAAAGGCTTGTTTGAAAAGCTATTATGAAAACTGAGTTTCTGTTCGCTAGAATTAAATAATAAAAAAACTTGTTCAGTAACATGTGTTTTGACAACTTGTCTTGGAGAACAAAAAATGGAATGGTGTTCCGGGGAATTAAAAAAACGAGAACACCTGAGAGATGTTTTGCTGCTATTGTTTTTGTGAATAAGAAATGGCGGAGCACAACCTTGCTTTCATTAATGGCATTGTTGTAAATAGTGCAAAGTTCGTTTCAGCTTTCCCCAACCCTTGCCTTCCTTTCATTCTTCTACGACCTTCATTCTGATTGCAGAGTAGGCGTCGTGCTGCCGTCATGATCGTTGCTCGTGAACCAGCTACCATCCTGATCTTCTTCGACCTGCGTTTTTCCTTTGACCTGCATTCTTTGACCTACGTTAAGGTGTGCCTTTTTTTTTTTTTTTTGTTGCTCGCTTTCTTGGCCATTACCAACCTCATTTTTTCTTCTATTCGGTAATTTCTTTGCTGTCTGATTTCGTGTTTCAAGGCTTTTGCCTTTTCCGATCTCATTTGGTTGTCGTAAAATCGAGAGGGCTCAGGCCAGGGCTTCCAAGAGCGGCAAGCAAGGCAAGAGCGATGGGTCGACTCCTCAGCAACGCAGAGGAAGGTTTGTTATTCTTTAATATCTTGTTCTTGTACTGTGCCCAGCTTTTGTTTATTCCGATCTCTTTTGGGGCCAGAGATGCAAAGGCACTACAGGAGAAGGATAGAGTTCAGGAAGATGAAGACCTTGAAAGGGATGATGGTGTTTCTCCCGATGATGTCCTTGATGATGTTTAAGTGAAGGCATTAAATAAAGTCTGATTTCACTATCTGTGGAGATAGATTATCAAACCGGAGAGTTGGTCTGATTTCAACAATCTAGATGGGTTTGACTGGGTAGAGTGGAACTCAAAAAACTGATCTGAGATGGAATGTTAACAAGGCTGTCCCTTGGTGTGTTATTTTTGCTTGCTTTTACTGGCATTTGTGGATTACACGCTGCTCATGTATGTTCTGTTATGATAATCGAACTTTGAAAACTATCAATGAGAAGGATATAGTGTCAAAATCTATGGTTCAATGGATTCCTTCTACGAGGGGCTGCGTCATACTAGAGAGGATTGGAATTCTGGTGGGATAAAGGCTTCATAGCAGTGGATATTTGCACTTTTGCAGTGATTAGTTAGTTGACTCTGATGTTAAGATTTCAACGTTACTAATGTTATTTTTTTATTCTATTCAAATTTTATTATTAAATTAATCCGTAGTTATAATATATAAATATAAAAATCATACCGATATTAATTTTGTAAAACTTAATCAAAGCAGTTTTTTTCTGTTTTCAAAAACATGTTTTAAAAGCAATTTATCAAATAAATTTTTACGTTTGTTAGTTTTAGATATAATTTTTTAGAACAATTATTTAAATAATTTTTTTTAATTCTCTTGACATGTTCTACAAAATATTTATTCTCTAAATAATAAAATAAAAACAGTTTCTAAGAGACCTTGTATATTTAACAGCTGTACTCTCATTTTTAGGTAGCTTTTGCTATGTATTACTCTCTTCGTTTTAAATTATAGGGCACTTTTAAAAGAGTTTTTTTATCTTAAAATATAAGATACTTTGGATAGATTAAAATTTTATTAAATATACTAATTCTAATATTACTCTTTTTCTCTTTATAATTAATTTTCATCTATTTTCTTTCAATATATTAAATGATGGGTATTTTTAAAAGTTTATATTTTTATTTTTTAAAAAATAAAATTGTTAAATATATGAATAAATTTTATTAATATATAAAATTTTATTTAAAAATATTTTATAATTTAAAATGGAGGGAGCATTATGTATGTTTCTTTAAAGTTATGCTCCAATTGCAATGGTTTTAGCAGGAGCGTTGCGTTAGATCAATGCTTCCACCGTTTCTTTTCCCACTACAGTCATATTCATGGGAGAATTTCAATAAAAATTCTTTCATCACATTTATTTAAATTTAAAATTTTTAAATTTTTAAAATTTTACTATAATATAAAGGTACTAATTTAATATTAAATTTTTTAAAAAACATGGCAAAATTATGTTTCATTTAAAATAATATTAAAACTATCCTACTTTACTTGTTAATTGTCATACTTTATTTATTTATTTAAATAAATGTGGTCAAAGGCTCTTTATTGAAATTATTTCCAGGAGTTATATCTTCAGATGATTAGTAGCTGCTGTAAATGATTTGAGCCTCATTATTTTCAATCATGACAATGAGATGAAGTTATATTCAAGATACATTGGGAGAGGAAACGTTACATTCAATATACGATAATATATAATTGTATTAAAAAATTAAGTCTTGGTTTGGTAATGTATGCAATTTTATTGTACTTATGTTGTCATTATTTAGTAGTAATTATTTTTAAAATTTAGGGCAAAAAGTATTTATTATTCTGCATTATCAAAATTTTATATTTTTTAATCTTATTTCATTTTGTATATAAAATCGTTCTTGTTTGCCAGTTACATAAAACCGGTTTTTGTTTGAGCTAAAAACAGAGGAAAGAGGAGAGGAAGAGTGAAAATTAAGATATTTATATTATCTTTAATTTATATCAAAAATTGAGGAAACAAAAATAACATTGCACGGAACTGAGTAAAAGATATATAAAAAATTATTTGCAAGGTGTGACTTTCTTTCTTTCTTTCTTTAATTAAAAAGGAAAAATACACTTACATGTTCTTATAATTTTATTTAATTTTAAATTAAGTACCTATAATATATTTGTTTTAATTAATTTTTTATATTTTTTTTCAAAAATTGAATCCTCATAGATTGATCAATTAAATTTTTTAATCCCTAAAATTTAAAATACTTAAATATTTCTTTTAAAAAAATAAAAACTTTCCTATTTTTGTTAAATGATTATATAAATTTAAAATTAATTATCTAATTTTTATAACTCAAAATTTATATAATTAGGTTGTCTTCTAAATATTTTTTATACAAATAAATTTTTTCTTAAAAATAAAAAATATAGGCATTATATTAACTCAAATTTTTTTCAATTTTGACTAAAAGTATTAATTAAATTTTTTAAAACTCCAAGAGTATTTTTTTGTAAAATTTAATAATTTATTATTAATTTTAACCTTCAAAGATGAATATATATATATATATAATAGTTTTAATTATAAGAATTTAATTAAAATAAAATAAATAACAAAAACTTAATTTAAAATTGAACAATATTATAAAGATATGCAGATTAATTTTCCTTAAAAAAGCAGCAAAGTTGAAGGAAACAAGAAAGAGAAATAAAAAGCACACATAACTCAAGGCGTGCAGTTTTAAAAATAGTGTGCGTTAGGACTTCGGAATTTTATAACATATACTAGCTAGAAATTTTTCCTGCGATAATTATTTTCGTTGTATTGGGTAGTTAAAATTTACGGTCGCATATTCCTTAACTGAATCTATCTATATCAATATTTATCTATTTATATTATAAAGTTTGTCATGATTACTGTTCATCCACTGCTGAATGAACATATCTATATATCTAAATCTAAAGCTAAATCAATCTAATCTAAATGTTTGTAAAGTTTGTCATAGTTTTGTTTATCAACAATTAAATGAACAGTGATCATGATGGTTTTAGAAAAAATAATTATTGTATGTTAAGAGTTTATGTGGGACCCACAATAAAAAAAAACGTTGTTGGACCTATAGTAAAATATTATTTATGGTTACAGGACTTGTAGTAAAATAATACATATGAGACCTAACACTTTTTTTTTTTTTTTTGCAAAGGTAGAAGATTTATCATTTATTACTTGCATTTAGAAAATAAAAATTGAAACCATTAATGCAAAAAAAAAAATTAGATCATCAAAAAATTAAAATATTGATAGATAGATTAGTAATAGTTGAGATTCTAGGGAAGACAAGATATAATTAGTATTTGGTAAATAATCATTGATGCTAACTTTAATAGCACGACGTCTGTTCATTATATGTAGTCCGTATAGTTTAATTGAATAACAATGTTCAAGTTCTTCAAGTGTATAAACAACAAAATGTCTGTAATCTATATATAACACGATGAGATTGATATATTAACAACATAATATCTATTCATTATATATAGTTTGTATAATTTAATTGAATAATAATATACAAGTTGCTCGAGGGCATGAACAATGGAATGTTTATATATAACATGACAATGTGTATACATTAACAATACAATATATATTCATTATACGGAGTTAGTGTAGTTTAGTTAAATAATAATATACAAATAATATGAATAACAGAATGTATATATATAACATGACAAAATATTTGCATCATTAAAAATGTCCTGCTCACAATGTTATTTTTTCAAATGAGGACAAATGACTCTTCTCACCAGAAAACATATTTATATATAATGACAGCAGGATAAATTAAGAATGCATTAGATCCTAAGTATTAATTTTTTTAATTGGGGAGCCTTAAGTGCTTCTCTCTCTCTCTCTCTCTCTCTCTCTCTCTCTCTCTCTCTCTCATACATACCAAAGGTAACTCAAATTGAGCATCAATCAAAAGCCCGCATAGTCTTACTTTTTTATTGTTTAAATTTAAATTTATGTAAAAATAATGCATCCTAAATTAATAAATTATCTTTATATTTTAAATATTCAGGAGATAACACACACACACATATATAATAGAGCAAGACTTATATACTTACCTTTATATACTTAATATATTTTTATCAAATCAAATCAAGACATGTAAATTTTAATATGTTAATAATATTAATAAAAAATTTATTGTAGAATAAATAATATATAATAGATACACATGTTTTGATTTAATTAAAAACAAACACCTTAAATATATAAGGTTAAATATATAAATTTTTTTCATACAATATAATATACAAGGGGTATATATGTCATCTATGTTTTTAATTATTTAAATCAATCAACTTATTCTCTCAATTTTTACATATAAGCAAAATTTTAATCAACTATAGAAAGTTGGTTATAATCCTAATAAACTATTGTTTTTTTTGTAAAATTATATATCGAATTAATATTTACACGCAATTCAACTTCTATTAATTTTTATGGATTGTTTAGATTAAGAGAATGGTTGGGCGGTGGGATTTTAATGAATTCAATTTTAGAAAATAGAGAATTGTGGCAAGTTTTTTTTTTTCCTTTTACATCTCTCAAATAAAATTTTATAACATATTTGTCCATGTTTTAAAAAAATGAACTCATTAAAATCCCCTCCTTTTCTTTTATATTTTCTTTAAAAAACGAGAGTTAATATTCCCATATGCTGCATGTGCCATCAAATTTAGTTTTAGATATAAACGATCAATATGACAACGATCGCACTGACATGTTTCTTTAGTTCATTCTTCAGAAAACGAGTTATGAGAACGGGTAAAAAATTATTGCAGTTATATGAGATCGGGAGAAGGGGAAATTGGTGAAAAGAATCTAATTAAAAGATACCAAGTTGAATTTAAGAGTCAAACTAAATATTCTATTCATTAAATAATATGAACAAGTAACCAAAATGCTCCCTGTTTAAACAAATGAAATTGAAAAAAAAAAAGAAGAAGAAGAATGTTTGTTTAACATGTACATTCCAAGCTAGAAGTCTTGCACCCATGCCAAAAATTCTGCAACCCATACTAAAAAGTCTTATACCTAAGTTAAAAGTCATACACCCTAGATCATAAGTCAAAAAAGTAAGTTGTAATTTTTATCATCACGAGTGCAAGGCTTGTGGTTTAGAGTGCACGACTTCTGATTTGGGTGTAAGGTTTTTGACTTAAGGTGCAAGGTTTCTGAAAAGTTGCAAAGCTAAGTGTAACACCCTTAAAATTTTTTCCAAACAATTATCCTAATCACGGTAAAAAAAGTATCTACCATAATACATAACATTTTTTTCAACAATTCTTTAACTTAAAATACTACCATGATAGAAAAAGATAAATCATAATTTTATAAAATATTTTACCTTTTAAAATAATTACTGCAGTAGCAAAGGTTTTACCATAATAGAAGGAACCAAACTAAATAAATAAGTATTATCATAGTAAATAAAATTAAACTCCTAAAATTGTCATTAAATTTTGGGATCCCAATCATCAAATAACAATAAGTGTTAAAGGCCCATATGATCCCATTTAAAAAAGATAAACACAATAGAATATAATGGAATTTGGAAATAGTTGTGCATTTCAAAATCTTATAATCACCTAGCAAACTATCCAAATAACATAATTTTTTTTTATAATTGAATTACAATCACCCAACACAATTTATATCAATGAAATTAATGAGGAAGTGTCTAATATTTGGTTTGGATTTGCACAACATAACATTACAAATAAACTTTAACCTTCCATGTACTATTAGGCCAAAACATATTTTTTCCAACCTTATACTCCTAAAAAGTGCAAACCATAGCCCAACAATTAAAATAGATAATTCATTCAATTTCCAAAACAAGCCAAACAAGAGGCTCCATAATCATTGCATTTTTATAATTGTTAATAAATAAAAAGTCCCAGCATTAATAATATAAAATCATTAAAATCATAAATCAGAATACTCAAGAGAAATAGTGGATCCATATCACTAAACCTTAGGAGCTCTTCCATGCGCCACACTTGGCTCACTTCTTAAAAAATGTTAACTACATAATGAGACTAAAAAATTTCAATAACAAATGCTAATTTATGATAATATATATAAACAGTTATATGTGTGTTTGCTAAGTAGGGAAACATAATTATATAATTCTAACAAAAATACCAAAGATATTGTAATGCTTGACAAATAACCATCCTCGTTTTCCTAAATTAACCTCAACCCGTAACCCTTACTTGATGTTAGATTACCTAACTAAAGGTAAATTAACTCGAGTCCTTATAAGAAACCAACTATGACTCCAGTAGGGACATGCCATATGACACAAAATGCAATAATAAGAAGTTTCCCAACACTTCCCACAATAGTCAAGCAATTATATATCAACAATATACAAATCTACAACATTTAAATCTTCACAATTTTCTTATTTTCAGTAATATTACAATAGAACATCCTACTTAGTAAAAATATTTCAAAATACATATTCACAATTTTGCAATTTTTTTCACAAACATAACAAAATAATTTTTCAATAATGATTCATAATTTCCTTAATAATCACACAAATAACAGTGAGCAACACTAATCACAAATTCAAACATTGTTGTCTCTTGGCTTTCTTAATAAATTATTTTTTACAACTTCTTTTTTACCACATTTTCACCAACAACATAATCTACAAATAATATATTATTTATAAATATTAATTTTAATTATTAGAGCTAGTAAAATAACTCTAATAATAGAATTAAAAAATATAACATAATTCCTAATCGTATTATTAATACAAATTTAGAGTTAGTATTCTCAAGAAAAATTTCGAACTCCTCTTTCAATCAACCATAAACGCTAATAAGTTAAAGTTAATTTCTAAACTAATTTCTATTATTAAAATTTCTTCTTTTATTTCATAAGTTCTCACATAAAAATATTCAAAAATTGTGAATATAGTCTCTCAAGTCTAGAATCATTATTTTATAGTCATAATAATATATTTTTCATCTCAAATAATTATCTAAATCTCAATAAATCAACCTATATTTTTAGATTTAACAAAAAATTTACCCATAAGAGCTTAGGGTTTAACTTATAAGCTTCAAATTCAAATTTCATTAACAAATTTATACTCTAAAATATTTATTATACTATTAATAATTTTAATAATTACATTTATCCATTATAAACTCATGTATCTTTCAAATCCTAAACTTTTCACCATCACACAATTAAAAATTAAGGGAGAAAGATGACTAAATTTTTTTTAAAATACTTATATAATCTTAAAAAGTTTGAAGCCTCATCCAAAACATCATATTATGAAGCTTGAATCAGATTGCCTTCGGTCTCGCGCGCACTCTGTGTTTTCGCTCTTCCCTGCTCACGAACGAGGAGCAAATGGAAATGGAAATGGAACCAGGAGGGACAGTGAAAAAGAAATTGGGTGAGTGATATTTTCTTTTTAAAAAAAGGCATGGGTCCCATGCCGTTTTCCTCTTTCATTATTATATATATATATATATATATATTTATATATTTATACCCTTGCACACACGACACGGACGTTTCTTCCAACACCCCCTTTCTTCCTCATTTATTTATTTATCAATCTCTCTCTCTCTTTTTTTTTTTCTCCTTTCCTAATAATGATAATGATAATAACAATAATTTTTAAAAAGATGTTAACTTAAAATTATATTTTAAATTAGATATAATAATAATCTCTTACTAATTTACTTATCTTTAATTTTTTTAAAATTTTTATTAACTTAAATTATCTAATAAAATTTAAATTGGTATATTACACTGAGGCTTTTGGCTTGAGACGCAAGACTTCTAATTTGAGATACACGTATTGAATAGACAGCCTTTTTTTTTTCCATCTCATTTGTTTAAACAGAGGGGCATTTTAATTATTTATTTATATTATTTAATAAATAAAATATTTAGTTTGATCCTTAAATTTAACTTAATCTTTGGACACAATTTTTCTTTTAATTAAATTCTTTTTACCAATTTTTCCTAAGGAGAATTGCTAGAAAATTCGTCCTTGGAACGAAAATTATCCTCCCAAAGCAAATTGAAGGATCGCGTGTCAGGCCCAAAAAAAAAAAAAAAAACACAATGGACCTGGTGTATTACAATAATCAGAAAAGGAGTACATGAATGGACCAAAATCCCCATGTGCCTAAATGAATACAATAAAAAAAAAATAGAGAAACCCGATTTGCACGAAGAGTGATCGAAAATTTGAGTTACCCCTAATCGGAAAATTTGATTGACGAAGGAATGGTCAAACGAGAGGGAGGACAAGGTAGATGGGCGATCAGGGATGATGACGATGAGGGATTTCATACTTAGCCTCCCGTCCTAGTAGTGTTTTCTAGGAAGTACAGTCGAACTAGTGAAGGGTTGCTGTCTGATCCGTCACCAGAACAGAAGGTGAAACAGGGCTTGAAGTTATGAACCAGGAATACTTCAAAGAAATAAACGTATTCGTATTCAATTTGTATCCAATACGATACATATAGAATACTTTTACATATATATCTCATATTTTAGCAACAGTGATATGATTTTTTATTAATTTTTTATTATATCAATTTAAAACTTAAAAAAAACATTTAATATTTTAATTAATTGTTCTAAATATCTTTATATCATTTTAGAAATTCAAAATACCTATACTTATATAATAAAATGTTAAAATATATATTATAAATATTTTGTACCCGTATCTTAAAATTTTGAAAGTTGTTATATTTTTATATTATGTCGTATCATATTGAATACTCGTACTTGTATCTATACAACCTAGTCATAAAAGGCTAAGTTTTCAAGAATTTTAAACCAAGCTTCTAATAAACTTTGATTTTCAGCTAGCCCAGTACCAACTCTTTGATATATTTCTTGCTGAAAGTATCCTTGATCCCATTGATAACAAGTGGGACCAAATAATTCAATTGGCGTAGTTGCTGAACCATACCACATAGTTCCAGTAACAATAAAAGCTGCAAAAAAGACAGCAGCGATACTACTGGAAAGAAAGGACGGTTTCAATATTTCTCATACGAAATCCTTTGTACAGACGTTGGGGTGGACGGACGCTAAGATGGAAAAGGCCTGCTAATATGCCCAACGTCCCTGACTGCATTCTAAATTCCACGATTTGTGGTTTGGCGGAATGTGGGGCGTCGTGAGCTGGGTTTGATCCTGATTTTGCAAGTGAAGAGTCCGTGTGGCAATTGCAATTGTTATAATCACATTCACCTCAAGAGGTCTCTTGAGATAATATTGCGCCTGACCAGGGCTGGGGGAAACTGCAGGTCGGGTTTGACCCCGTTGATTTTCTTTTTAACCTCCAAGTTATTACTTTTACTGGTCTGTGTTTGTATATGTAACCAGCCTAATTGAGACCCAGCCCATCATTCTATCTGGAGTTAGTTTAGTCAGTTTAATTAATTCCGTGCAAGTGGTTAATAGTTGTTCAGAGCTTAAGCTCTATATAGATGATCAAGGCAGTTCAATAAGATTACATCATTTAGTATATTCTCTTTTGCTTTCTCTTCTTCCTTAACTCTGATATCTTGCATGGTATTAGGGCCATTCCTCTTCTCTTGATCTGCTTCTCATAGTTTCCCGGCCTACTTCTATGGCTTATGCTGCTGCGCATACCCACGCTGGCTGTTCTTCCTGTTCTCTCTACATCGTATGCTCCGCGAACATTCTCTAATAAGAAGATCAATGTTTGTCTGGATGACAACAATTTTCTCCTCTGGAACCAACGAGTGTATCTGATATGAGATCAGAGCCATTCCTCTTCTCTTGATATGCTTCTCATAGTTTCTAGACCTATTTCCATGGCTTCTGCTGCTGTGCATACCAACGCTGTTCTTCTCGTTCTCGCTACATTGTCTGTTTCGTGAACATTCTCTAATAAGAAGATCAACGTTTGCCCGGATGACAACAGTTTTTTCTCCTATGGAAGCATCAACTGCATCTGATGGTGAAACAACATCGCCTTCATCAAATTCTTGAAGGTACTGCAACGATTTCATCGTCTTTGTTGAAGGAACGACTAGCTTATAGATGTACAAACAAAGCAACACTACTCTTACTTCCTGGCTACTTTTGACGGTCGGTTCTTCAGTCCTTCTTGATCTAGTTGGCTTTAACACTGCAACTCAAATTTGGCACGGGCTCTGCAGTCTTTATTCTGTAAAGTTAGAATCCAGGATTTTGCTTTATCAAAATCAGCTTACAAATCAGTTCAACATATGCATCAGCCACTGATTGCTTATTGGGAGTTTGTTCAGAGGCTCCTTAGGTACTTGGCAAGGACTATTGCACATGGGTTACTCATCAAGCCTATCTCTACTATTCTATTCATGCGTTTGCAGACTCTGATCTGGGTCCAGATATTGATTGGACAGGAACTAAGCCTGATAGGCGATCTACAAGTGGCTTTTGTACATATATAGGATGCAATCCTATTACCTGGGCTTCAAAGAGGCTGTCAGCGGTCACTCCATCATCTACAGAAGCTGAGTATCGTAGCTTAGCAGATACAATAGTTGAAGTAATGTGGTTGAAGTCTTTGTTGGAGGAAATGAAGGTATCTGTTTCTGGCATTCCTATAGCATGGGTTGACAATGCCGTAACTGTCTCATTGGCAACTAACCCAGTTCTACATTCTAAGAGGAAAGCACATTGAGTTAGATCTGCAGTTCGGACGAGAAAAAGTTGAGCAAGGAATATTGGATGTACGATATGTGCCATTAGAAGAACAAGTTGCTGACTATTTTAACCAAGCCGCTGTCATTTGCTCCATTTGTGACGTTACGTGATAGGTTTATGATCTGCAGTATTAGGGTCTCACAGTCGAAATAATTATAATAATAATAATGATTTGCGAATAACTGAATAAGACAAAGCGCAACGGGAATGCATTTGTTGCAATGTCTGGTTAAAGGTTGATGAATTCATTTTCATGCAATTAGAAAAGACAAGTACTAAAGCACAGAAGAAACTAACAAGATAGGAAATGAATTTATTTACTCCTAAATGCTCCATGCAAAGTCATCTTTTTTCACCAGGAAGCACTATCAATAGAACCAAAAAAGCTACAGACCTCAAAATAGTATTTTGACCGCAGCTTTGAGCAAAAATCCAATATAAATATATCATTATATAGCACAAATTTTATAGCAAACTGCAACCCAACCATTTATAAATTATGATCAATGCAACTCATTTTTCAAAATTTCATATAAAACATAGAAAAAGTTTAATTTTCAGTATAATTTTCATTTATGTTCGTGATTGTAGCCTTATGTTAACTCTAATAATAAATTCAACCGCAGGAACGTTTCCCTGGACCCTGCTTATGACCCAACATATCAGTTGGCTGGTATTGGGAGTTTTACATCTCAAAACATTAGAAAGCAAATTCTGTTAAGGGCAAGATCCACTTCAAATAGCCTTTCAGATTTCAACAGTTTCGTAATGGCCTCTATGAACGGGCAGGAATAACTCTTGTTTAGAGGACAGAGGAAGAGAAAAAAAACAACACACACACCCCCCCCCCCAAAGCACATGTTTAAAGTTGAACTAGACTCTGGTCTTGCAAGGAAAAACTTGATTTACACTGCCGCTCAATTATGTACATAAAAATTTGCTTCATGATTAATAGAGTCAGGAATCGCAGTTATAACCACACCAGCAGAGACGAGAATTTACATCAGTCATGAGCTTTCGTTTACTGAAATCATCTGACTCTAAATCTTGCCGTCAACAAGGTCGTAAATAATGCAGAGGATTTGGTGTCTTCTCAAATTGGATGATAAAACCTAGATGCTTAACTTCCCACTGCCTCCACAGGTTGAGCAAGATCGGCCAGAAGAACATTTTGCACAATAGCTCCACTTCTTTGGAAGGCTGTGAAATTCGGGTGAATGAACGAATTCAAAAACTTGATATGAAAGGAATAGAGAGAGATAAAAATAATACCCGGCTGTGAATCGAGTAGCCATATTCTTGGAAAGCTTTCTTGCCCTCTCAGCACTTTCCTCAGAGAGTTTCTTGAGCACAAATCCTTCACACGTTACATTCTGAACATACACCAGAACCGGCACAATCTTCACATTCTCTGATTGAATCTGTTTTACAAGAAGCTTTCTTTACACAAACACTTGCCACATGAAAGGGAGCAATTATCACAGTTTGATCTATCTAATTTAAGACAAGTGCATGCCTTCCTTTTTGGTTACACAGCCTATCTCTAGGCTAGTCAAATATTGGCATTAGTGAATAATCAACGCACAATCAAGTTCACAAGTGCCATATTTCTGGAGAATAAAGAAAAAAAATCTGAATTGTTAAGTCGTCATGTGATATGGAAACAGGAACACCTAATATAATTGAATCTTCAGTCTTTAAGAAGTTTCTATACTTCAAGTGTTAATGGAGCTGCTGCTAAGTTAGTGTGTTATCCATAAGAATCATTTAATTGATGCAGAAGCAATTTTTACGTTCTTGGTTCCATAAAGATGTATATTTCTTAATATCGGCATAATGTAGACATTGCAGGGCACAGATATTTTAATAATACTACTGAAAGGAAAGATGAATCACTGACCTCTTTCGTTTCAGAAGGTTTTGTTCTCTTCACAAGAAGAGTAACTGCTGCACCAACAAGAGTTGCGGTGACTGCCACTGATGCTGCCGTTTCAGGTAGTGCAGATGTGATGGCGGAATATTTCCTTCCTTGCAATTGTGACTTCACATCTACACAAGATGTAAAATGAGACTCGAAAATACAGTGGTAAGCTATGCATGTCATCAATTTAACAACACTGGTCAGTGGATCGCTGTCCTAGGAGTAGGAACACCATAAAGAGAGAAATGGAAAAAGGGGCCATGTTTAAGTGAACTTAGTGATTGCTTTTGAAACCTAAAGGTCTAAGGAATGATTAACTATGCCAGTGAAATAAAAGACGAGGAGACGATCATATAGTGCTACAGGAGTACTGGAAAAAAAACAATGCGTCAACAACTTTCAACCTTTCTTCTGAAGGCAGCTGGTTTCTTTGTCATATCCTAAACTGAAGTGTAGGACGAACCGGGCATCCAATTTTTAACACTTTATCTTGACTGAAAAGTATAATTTTTACAGGGCGTCCTCAAAACCATATTTCAAGAAACACCTTTTGAGTGCTGAAGAATAACAAAAGGATTTTTGTGATGACACCGTTCATTCTTTGTTATGGGTACAAGCACCAACAATTGAAGCTGTGAGCACAAACTCTTATCTAGTATGCATGAATGAGAACACAGACGAGTCCATTTCAGAACACTTGGAAGATTCCAGAAGCTCAATTTCTTGAGTTTCTCCATGGCCACAACTCCAATAAATTGAAATCACAAGCAAGGGACGACGCTGATCTTTCAAAAGAATTAAAGAGCCATTTAGAGGCGAGCGCAGTGGCATTATCATCCAACTACACAAAACCTATTAAGAGACAAGTTTCAACTAAGATTTCATGGGGATTTCCTTTCAATTTAACTTCAACGCTAATAAATGAGGCAAACGAGCCATATATAGATTAGTACAAGTCTACAATACATTAGAAACCTTCCACCGTAACAGCAAGCAATCAATCGGCACGGTGGTTCCACCGAACCGAATTATTAACATGAAAGCTATCTAGAAGCTGTGGGGATCATTAACGGTGCCTGTTTGAGGTCGCTCAGCAGATGAGCACGCTTAACCAGTAGGTTGATGAAGTTTAAATGAGCATATACATGCACCAGCAGGAGCGAGTAGAGTGAAAATAAATAGGGAAACAAAGGAAAGAGAAAATCTTACTCTTTGGGAATGAGGGAAGTGAAGTAGGGTGAACTATGAGTTCCATTGAAGATTTTTTCTTTCTCAGCGTTTCCTTTCTGTTCCTTCACTTGCCAACGTCCCCATCTAGCCACTCTACCTTATCCCCATGTATACTCAATTGCTCTAAATAATTGGTCTGATTCGAGAAAAGATGGCATATTTCCTGTTGCATTAACTATCTTTCCGTTATAAATTTTCTTATACGAAATTATTTATTTTCCCCTGTTGCTTGGAATAATAAAACGTAAAAACACTCTTGAAAATTGTACTCATTTTATAGCAAATATTATTGCTGGTTATAAATTTTATATTATATATTGATAATATATAGCTTATTATTAAGATTCAGTTGTTTATGTAACTAGGCATGACTCTTTTCAAATGTACAAAATCAAAAAAATAAATAGCGTTATTTATAACTTTGTAATCGTTTCTTTCAATTTCCATTGTAAGATCCTTTTCTATAATACTTAACATAAAATATTTTGTTTAAAGCATTAATTTTTTTCTTTTAAATGTTCTTTACTTTGATATTTCCTAACCAACTTAATAATCTCCTAATTAATTAAATAGCATCCTCTGATTAATAACTTCATTAGGATAATTTAAAATTGTAAAGATATTAAGCAATTTTAAAGGATTTTTTTGAAGTTTATTAAGATGGGATTTTGAGATTTTACTCCACAACCTTTTTCTTTCAGGAGAAGAATGATAGAAAGATTCTCAGAAGGATCAATTAATTTAAGTTAAATTTTAAATATAAATTTTAAAATTTATAATTCAATCTCTCAATTTTGCAACTCTATTATAATAAATTATAATTTATATTTTAAATTTTAATAAAAAAAAATTTTTTATTTTTTAATCATGTTAAAATTTAAAAAATAAATTATAAATTCATCAAGGTACAATTATAAAATTAAAAGCTTGATTTGCAAACTTTTAAAATTTAATACTTGAGATTCAAATTAAATTAATTAATCTTTTTAATTTTTTTTGTCATTGTCCCTTTTCTCTATCAAAATATTAGATTCAAAATTAAATTAATTAATCTTTTTAAAATTTTTTTGTCATTGTCCCTTTTCTCTATCAAAATATTTTTCGTACCATTGGGGTCATGCTATACATGGCGAATGCAATAAAAGCAATACCAGTAAAATTTGCCTCCTATAAGCAAAGGTAAGATTTTCTGGGCAGGTCGCTGCTTCCTTCTGAGCTCTCAGGTTTGAGTGGTGAGGTTTCACGTGAGCAGAGTAAATTTTGTCTCTGAACGTTTTGGGTCTTTTGAAGGTTTGGAGCGGACGCGGGGTTTTTCTCATCCATAATTAATTTCAATAACGAACCCAATATAAAAGGAATTCACTAAAGGCTGTGCCAATTTAATGAGGCTGCAATCCGTCGGTTATGAAGTTGGTTCGTTTTATGAACTCTTGCACTGAGTCGATCGACAATGTTTAAGGTTCTGTACATGATTCTGGTGCAATCTAAATTCTATTCCATTCCTTTTCAATTTCTGGAGTTTTGGGTAGTAATTACTGTCAGCGACAGTGCAGGCGGCAGCGTGTGTATTAACTTTAGGCTGATATACTCACGAGCCAATTTAAGGCACCTGGTTTCCAAAACCCTCGCAGCAATCAACCATATAACCTCTTCCTATCCGAGTTGAAGTTCAGAAGCTTCAATGTCTACTACAAAGTTATTTCCTTTGGTCCTTTACCTCCTTATTTCTCTCATTTCTCTAGACATAGCCACGGCTGGAAGGATCATCCCACCTAGTGCTCCCAGTACAGTCATAAGACCATTAGTCTTATCAGAAGCAGAAACCTATATGAGGCCAGAGTTGGACCACAAACAGAAGGTTTTTCATGGGAAACAGGTGAAGAGTTGCTTG